TTTTTTTGCTCCCCAGAGATGAGTGAGTGTACCATTCCTGTTGTTGTTGTTATGTGCCGTCGAATCAAACCCAACTCATAGTGACCCTTCCTTAGGTTTCCGAGGCAGTATTACTACAGAAGTAGATTGCCCAGCCTTCCTTCTGAAGAAGAAAGAAGGCTGGTGGGTTTGAACCGGCAGCCTTCTTGTTAGCAGTCAAGTGCCTTAGCCACTACACTATCAGAGCTCCTGGAGATACTTAAATACCAGGTCAGTATGTGGAGTGGACGGAGCAAGCTCCTATTCCATCTCCTAATTCCAAAAATCCGTTTAATATATTATCCTTGGATAAAAGATGTACCAGATATTAAATTGATAGGAACAAATACTACACTTGATCTTAACCAAAAGGCCAAGAAGCAATCAACTAACTTTTTTAGTGCCGTGACACTTTGTTTTCCTTCCATCTTTGGATGCTTCCTTCATCATTAAATGTTTTGTTCATAGATTCCTTCAGTATTGTAAATCAAGGGTTGAATTTTTTATACACTTCTCTCAGCTTGAGAAGTGCTGACCTTGTTCTTTTTTTATTTTCTAACTCCAGTTCTTTGTACGTTTCATTCTAATACTTTACTTTGTCTTCTCAAACCACCCATTGAAATTTGTTCAGGTATTTTATTTCATCATTTCTTCCCTTTCTTTTAATTACGCTAGGTTCAAGAGGAAGTTTCAGAGTCTCTTCTTAATCCATTTTGGTGGAATAAGCATGCAATTAGGCACACACTGTGGATAGATGATGTCCGTGTGTTGGAAGTGTCTGACACAGGATGCAGGCAGCGTGGAAGTGAATGTAGTTAGTGAAGGGATGAGGCTGATGTTCATACCTTAGAGCAGACCTTGGTAGAACACACAACCTTGTGTCAAATCCCTGTGAGTTCTCAGTTCCCCAGAACTGTCAGCCTCACCCTTAGTGTTCATGGAATCTTGCTGATCCAGAACGTGTGGGGTGTTTTAGGGCTCAGTGGTGATTGAGGACGTGGCCGTGGTCTTCACCCAGGAAGAGTGGGCTTTGCTGGATGTTGCTCAGAGGAAACTCTACAGAGATGTGATGACGGAAACCTTCAGAAACCTGACCTCAATAGGTAAGTATGGCATCATTTATTATTATTTATATTATTCCTTCAGTGAATAAAAATATTTTGGTCACTGACTTTGGTCCAGATGATGGGCTGAGGAACAGGATTAAATTGTTAAATATAACAGGTATTGTCCCTTGATCTATGAAATTTATGTATCCTGGCTTCCACGTGAACACAAAGCTCTGTGCAATAAAGTGAGTTCCATTTATGTTGTGATCAAAAGCCCTGAGGCTCTTTAAGTTCTGTAAGTGTTAGCATAAGCTTCAGGACTCACTTTGGGGCACTGAGAGATTGCTGTTTGGGGATTTTGCAGAGTTTACTGTATTTATTACAAGTTTGACACAATTTTCCTGCAAATAAAGTCACATTTCATTGTCATCAAAGATCCTGAAGATGAATGTGTTGACTCAGTGTCAGGGACACATTCCCCACTCAGTACTGTCTTCCCTTATGATACGAATTTTTCCATCAGCACCATGTCAGGAATAACATATTTGTTATCCTAGAGGAGCAAAGTGAATAGAGATAGGAAATTACATTTAATCATTCAGGAACGAAAGTCTGTTTGGGGTTGAGGCACAGCTGCACGAACACCTGAGCTTGCTCTTCTGACTTTAGCAGCCGTTCACACCTGAGGCCCTGGAGATCCTGGTCCTCTCTTAATGTGGTGTGTGATTGTGTCCAACACGTGTCTGTCTCCTTAGCTCTCCTAGTTCACTGCTTCTGTCCCCGCCACTCTTAGTCCTCATGGATGGTGTTCCCAGTAAGTTGCTTTTTATCCATTGCCCAAGTGCTGAAACAGCGAAATGTGGCAAACTTTTTCTTTGTTCACAGTAGCTCTTTATTCCCTAATCACTTCTTCCTTTTTTTTTTTTTTTTCATATTGTGAACTTCTACTTTAATTATTGGATCAGTCTCTGGAAACCTTCAAGATGGAAAACAGATATCCAGTGAGCATATAATGGTGCAGTTCATGAAGAATAGCTCCTGCATGTTAGCAGATCTCTCTGAATTGAGTGGCACTAAAGATCGGCATAAAAGTCAGAGGAACCATTCAAGGTGAGTGTCATTCATATGATAGAAAACATTCCTTCAGGATAAAATTCTAAAGTGTCAGGATAATACATACTTTATGTGTGTGTGTGTGTGTGTGTGTGTGTGTATAGGAGTTCTGGTAGCATAGTGCCTAAGGCACTTGACTGCTAACCAGAAGGCTGGCGGTTCAAACCCACCAGCCACTCCTCAGAAGGAAGGTTGGGCAATCCTACTTCCGTAGTGATACTGCCTCGGAAACCCAAGGAGGGGTTGCTATGAGTCGGGGCCGACTCGACGGCAAACAACAACAGCAACAACAACATAGATGTATACATACAAACCAAAACCAAACCAAACTCACTGCCATCAAGTCGATTCTGATTCATAGTTGACCCCCTTTGTGTTTCTGAGGTGGTAAATCTTTACGGAAGTAGATTGCCCGGTCTTCCTTCCACAGAGTGGCTGGTGGGTTTGACCCATCAACATTCTGGTTATCAGTCAAATGCCTTAGGCACTATGCCACCAGAGTTCCTATGTATGTCTGTGTGTGTGTTTATAGGAGCTCCAGTAGTATAGTGTCTAAAGGCACTTGACTGCTAACCAGAAGGCTGGTGGTTCAAGGCCACCAGCCACTCCTTGTAAGGAAGATGGGGCAGTCTACTTCCATCATGATACTGCCTTGGAAACCCTAGGAGGGGTCGCTATGAGTCGGGTCCAACTTGACGGCACATAACAACAACATTTGTATGTATATAATGCTGGGTAAGGTGTAGGTCAGCAAAAAAAGAAAACCCTATATGTGATGGATTAACAGAATGTCTGCAGCAATAGGTTCAAACATAGCAACAGTTAGGGTGCAGGGCCAGACAGTGTTCCATTTTGTTGTACATGGTGTTGCTGTGAGTCAGAGCTGACTCAGTACACTTAACAACAATATATATAAACCTAGTTGTAAAATTATGGATTCCAAGAATATTTTCACAATGTAACATTTTAGTTATTGTGGATCAGATACTCAATCTACTTCCATAGAAATACTGCATTGGAAACCCAAGGAGGGGTCATTATGACTCAGGACTGACTCAATGGCAGTGAGGTTTTTTTGTTTGTTTGCTTTTTAGTTTTGGGGTCAGATATTGAGTATTTGAAACATTTCACTAGACACAGTTACCATAAAGCCACATATAGAAAAAGTGACAATAATGGTAATCTTTCTGCTAGATGGCTTGGAGTATGAAGCATGAGACAAATCAGGACAAAACCATGCATGTTCTGTTCACTGTGTTTGGTTTTGATGAGTGGGAACAGATATATTTCTAACAGTGTATTTTCTATTTTTAACAGAAATCATACAGTAGAGAACCTCTGTGAAAATAGTGAAGGTGATCAGTGTGGGACAGAACTGAGGCAGATTCCAAGTCTTACTGGGCTAAAAATAAACCATCCAGGAGGAAATCCTTTCGATTGCTGTGAGTGTGGTAAAGCCTCCACGGATCTCTCATCACACAAGCATCCTTGCAGATCTCACACTGGATGCAGTACGTGTCTGTGTAAGGAATGTGGTGGAGCCTCCACTTGTACCTCTCAACTAACCACTCCTAGGAGATCTCTTAATGGAAAGAAATCCCATAAGTGTAAAGTATGTGGGAAAAACTTTATTTGTGTCTTAGTGCTTAAGAATTCTGTAACAGCACTCACTGGTGAGAAATCCTATGAATGCAGTGAATGTGGGAAACATTTCTGCAGTTTCTTATCCTTTCGGACACATGTAAGAAACCATGAATGTAAAGAATGCTGTAAAACATACAGTCATCCTTCATCCCTCATTTTACATAAGAAATTTCATGACAGATACATGTCTTTTGAACGTAAGGAATGTAGGAAAGCATTTAGTAAGACCTCATCCCGCAGTATACATATAAAGACTCATGGTGGAGAGAGGCCTTATGAATGTAAGGAATGTGGGAAAGCTTTTAGGTACCCCTCATCCCTCTCTAGACATACAAGGACTCACAGTGGAGAGAGACCTTATGAATGTGAAGAATGTGGGAAAGCCTTTAGGTACCTCTCAGACCTCACTATACATACAAAGATGCACAGTGAAGAGAGACCTTATGAATGTAAGGAATGTGGGAAAGCCTTTAGGTACCTCTCATCCCTCACTAGACATACAAAGATTCACAGTGGAGAGAGACCTT